TAAACAAGTAATTTCATATGACTACATAGTGAAAAGGGAAGAATGTTGAAAACATAAGAGCTGAATTAAAATTCTCTTACCTGCTCTGCAGGATTCAGGCTGACAACATAGAGAAGCAAGGTTTGTGCATTAAAGCTGTGTTACGATATGCCAGACAGGAGCCGAATCACAAACCAAATGCAGACAAATTTTAGAAAAGAAGATGGCACATGCACACAGCTGGGCAAATAAACTCTGGATTCCAACAGCAATGATAATCTCCATGGATAGCCCTTCACACTTGTACAGAATTTCAATAAAGCTTTTCCAAAAGAGCGAAGATGAAACTTGTACCAACCCAACAGTATCTGCACACCAACTTTAGGGTTCTGTCAGTAGCTCTACTCCTGTAAGTATCTGTGTAAATGAGCAGTTCATTGCTGTTCTCCTGTTGTGCCTATAGTTAATAACAGAGGCAAACCTTTCCAGACTGGGACTGTGAGAAAAAATGACCAGTCTTTAAAGTTTAGCATTTATGAATCCACTTTAGCCAGTCCCATGAATTATCAGCTTACGCATCATGGGTTTAGTATTTTAAGTTATTATATCATGTTGAAGCTGATAGAACAGGTTCTTCTTAACTAAAATAAAGTTTTAAAGTATTACAAGCTCACACTCAGTCCTGAGGGTAAAGGTTTCCCATCTAACATCTTAACATCAATTAGATGTGTCTGAAAAGAAATACTACTACATGTTTAATGAAACTAGGGCTCTACTTGAACATGCTACCGCAGAAATCTGATTTACTTTGTAGCACATGGCCATAAAGGCAACACAAAAACTGTTTCCATAAAAGTGCATAGAAATTATGTTAAAACCTTGATCCACAGGATCCTTGTGGCAAAGCAGAACCTGAAGCAGTTCCATTTATAATAAAGTCTGGCACTTTAATGTCTGCAACTGCACAATTGCTATCTCCACCTCACTCATGAAGCCTTTTAATTTACTGCTTCCTTTTCTCCCTATGTCAGAAAGGAACAAACTCATATGCAAACTTTTTCTAGACTCACATTGAGGATAAACCTTTAAAACACTGTAAAGCCTCAGCTGTCCTGGAAGTGCAGCAACACCCAAGCGCTAAGCTAGTTTTTAAGTCGTTACACAGTCATAGTTTTGTTCGTGTATGTATTTAAATGCTGTGTATTTGATTCCCTCTCTTCAGTTCAAAGTCCAAGCACATAGGACCCAATGTCATTTCTCTGCAATATAAAAATATTTCCCTAATTTTTTTCTAAATCTGCTTTATTTCAACATAAGCTCAGCTTTTGCTTCTCTGAACACATTCTCTCTCTCTCCATCTGCCTGCATATGTATGTACACACACCCCATACATATATGTACTTTACAGAACTACTTATTTTACTTCAAATTTATCAAAATCTACACAAATAACTTTCAAGTCAGTTAAGATAAGGAAATTAGAAGTTTTTCTTTGTTGAAAGATACGTTTTACCTGCACGTAAGTGTTCAAAGACCATCTTTCACATGAGGCAAGCCAAAAGGTCATCACCCTTTCCAAATACAAAAGTTTTGAATCTCCAGAACCTTGCAGTGGAAAGATAGAAAGCACACACCATGCAGCGCTCTTATGCTTCTTTAACTGAAACACAGCCACTAAAAAAAAAAATCCAAGTGGTAGGGCATCAGACACCGCAAAACACAAATACCCACGGAAACTGTTAACACCAAAACACGTTAACATTTTTCATGGCAACCCTTCTTCCTATATTTAACCAGCATTCTACTCCACCTCCACAACTGTAGGTTATGATGTTCTTCATGTACTCTGAATGAAATGCAAAGGGCTTTGGTTATTAGTCAACAACAAAAGTGTTAATATTAAAAGCTGTTTTGGTTCTTTTCTCATGGAAGAATCAAGGCACATTTCCAGCATATGTATGAGCCATCTACTAATTTTCAAGGCTCCATTCTAAATATGTAAGTGTTTTAAAGAGACAAAGTGTTTTGTTTGAATACAGCTGAACAGACACACATAACTTGTTATTGCCACAACCTCTTTTTCAGAAACAGCTGAACCTCACTGAAACTATCCCTCAAAAAACGACTCAAAGCATGGGGAATTTCTGCCCAAACAACTGGAACTATTTCCAAATACTATAAGCATTAAAAACTGAAATCTTATCATAAGCCTTACTCAGCAGACAGTAGCACTACCAGCTCCAACCATGGTAACAGGTCTTACACAAGAAAATACAAGATATACATCTCAATATACATTCCTTACCACTTTTCACTCACACAACATCTTACCAAACCTTGTTTTTCACACTTCAGACAACGCAGTAACGTGTTTTCATAGTGTCATTTAGTAATGCCCAGTTCTCTTTGCTGAACCTTTATATGTTTATCTGCTTGGGCGCAGTTGTATGCTATTCAAAACCCTTCTTATACAGCTGCTAAATACTAAGATACTACATGCAAACAGTAAATAACATGTAGCTACTTTCCTAGATTTCCTAAGGATATTCAAACCAAGTGCAACATCTGGTTTACTGAAAAATCCTTTTTACTCAAAGCTGCAATTAGACATAAGACGACCAAGTGATTTACCTCGATCCTGGCTCTGAGTGTATGAGAAGTAGGATTCTTATTACAGTGCTATCCAGCATACTGCAAGCTACATACTTACAGCAACTGACTAGAAGAAAATCAAAGTGAGATCAGGAAGGGATTCCTAGATGTGACAGAAGAAAACAGTAATTTCACAGCAGGTGCTACATATAAAGGCACGAATTAACATGGTAACATCTCCTTTTTTCTTGTTACAGACAAAACAATTGCCTTCCCATTTGTAGAAAAGAACTTAAAAGCTATTTCTCTACAGAGAATTAGCAGTTTTGGTTCTATCTTAAACTTATAAAGGCTGAGAAAATGGCAGATTTCTGCTGAGGCAATTCCTCAAATCTACTTATTGAAACGAGAGAATAATAATAATTGCATCCTTTTAAAGAGGCTGCAGATCTCTCCTGATCTGGGACAAGTTAATGCAAATTAATTGTTATTTATATTTGGAAGCGTTTCACTGTCGTCCCTTACTTCCTCCTTTCCCCACTGCGTCCTCTCCATCACAGCAAGTGAATCAGAGAGGACTTTCTAATCTCCAGGTGTTCAAAATTCCCATTATACTTTTATAATAGGTATTTCGATTTCAGATCATTTGGGGCATTTTTAAAGCATCTGATGCAGTAATTCTTACATTAATAACATAAAAATCTTATTTCTTCTTATCTTCCTTAAAGCCTTACCTACAAAATGAATGAAGCTTCCTACTTTACTAAATGATAAAACTGCTACTATGACTTAAAAACTACATGACTTTTCAAGAGTCTTTTGCCAGGAAACAGATTTGATTATCCTGTCACTGTCCTTAATTTTTTTATATCACTTTGGTTGGTGTAGTTTGAAAAATACAGAAAAACACCTATAGTAGTTTCCTTTAAAACTGAAAACTCGCTTCATAATCGGCATTTAGCAAAGCAAGGAGTAAGAAATCATAATCGTCACTAGAAAAGCCGTTTCTGCAGAAGTTGAAGATAAACTTGACTGCATACCGTCAACACACTCAACACACTCAACACATCCTCTCCCTAAAACCTTACTAGAGATAATGGCCGGTCATTGGGATTGTTTGTTTTAACTAATTACATTAAATGACTGTTAATATCTTCCACTTCGCACCAAGCAAGTCAAGAACATCTGTTCGCGTCTCCCCTTCAAAGAAAAACACCGGCCAAACCGTCAATACCATGAAGCGTATTATTTCTTACAGGCGATTATATAATTATGTAACTTGTTTCTCTCTGAGCGCTGCTGCAGCATATTTTACCGTCAATTTACGGTAAACGAAAGCATCGCCGCTGGGAAGGCGGGGAGGAGAAGGTAGGACTTCTTCCAGGGCTTCCCTCGTCGGTGGGAAGGGTGCCCGGGTCCCCAACTGTTTCTGGAGCTGGCCCGGGTCTGTCACCACCCACCGCGGCACCTTACGCGGGCTGGGAGCCCCGCCACCGGCAGTGTGCGCCCACCTCAGGGGCCGAGGAGCGCGGGAAGGCACCGGGCTGCGCTGCCGCTCCGGGCCAGGGGCCAGCACTCAGCCGCCCCGGCACCTCGCCCACCGCTTAACTTTCCTGAGCGGACGCCCGCGCTCGCTCTGCCCCGCTGGCGGGACTCTCCGCCTCAGCCCCGCTTCCTGCCGCCTCCCGCAGGGCTCAGCGCGGTACCCCCGCCACACTCACCCGGCGGAATTCCCACTACCGTTCAGTCTAGCGAGCCGCCCTCGGAGCAGGTGCGCAGCGCTGCGCGGCTCCGGGTGCCCTGCGCTCGGCCGCCAGACGGGCTCTGAGCGCGCCGGGTCTCGCAGGTGCGTCTCCTCCGGGCCGGCGCGGGGCGGGAGCGCTGCTCGGCTCGGTCCCTCCCTGCCCACAGGAAGGTGTGGGGGCAGCGACCCCCCCCCCCCCCCCCCCTCGAGCGCTGCCAGTCGCCGGAGAGGCGCTCACCTCCCGGGCTGCTGCCGTCCCTGAGGAGGCTCGTCCTCCTCCTCCTCCTCCTCCTCTTCCATGGTGCCGCTCCACCCCCTGCGCGGCGGCTCCGGGGCTCTCCAGGAGGAGCCGTTGAACGGCTGCTGCTTCCTCCCTCGCCCACCCGACGCTGAGGGCAGCGCGGCTAGCTGCAGGCAGCAGCTCCACAGCGCCCTACCCCGCACCATGGCGCGGGGCAGTGGGTTTCCGCCTGGCGGCGCGTTACCAAGATGGCGGCGGGGGGGGGGGCCTCTGCTTGGGGAGACGTGGCGTTCGGACTCCCGCGGGTCAGAGCGATGGCGGGGCAGCTTGGCGCTGCTGCTGGAGGCCGGGCTACCCGCCGGCACCGGGAACAGGGAAGCATTAGGTTCTGCCTGTGGCCGGCCCCGCAGTTGGTAAACACTTGGGAATACGAGCATACTCCGAGCATGCACCTGGTGCTGCAGCGGAAAAGTTTTCTAGGCTCGGTTTCCTCAGGAACCCGAAACAGTGCCGCCATCACTGGGGATACCCGTGAAGCCACCTATGGCCATCGGCTGCCTTCCCGCAGAGCATCCCATCTCGAAGATCCCTGTACCCCCATGGTCACTCCTGTGCTTTAGGAAGTTAACGCTCCAGTCCAAGTTTCGTTGCGTGTTGGGTTACAACCACCCCCTCACCTCCTGCTTACACGTGTCAGTAGCTTCCATGCGACTCCAGCTGATGGGTTGGGAAGTGAGGGATTCTGCAGCACCCAATCCAGAAAAATAGGTTCTCAGGAATAAATGTCTGTTTTTTTTCTCAATATTTCCTTACCTCCTTAAGTATGTAATAGAAGGTAAAGCACTAAGTTATGCAGCTATGGTATGAAAAAACTTATGTCCTACATAACAGCAGTATGAAATCCAAGTCTATTTGGATCTCCAGTAACACATTTACATACATTTTATCTTGAAGCTTAGGAATGGATGTCCAGTTTATCAGTGAAGGACAAGTTCTCATGCTAGGTCTTAGGAGGCCAGAAACATGAGTGTTACCCTTATCATTAATCTGTCCTCTCAGTCTCTGTAAGGTAGAGGAAGGATGATACTACCAAGTTATCTTGTTCTGTACGAGGATGACAGATACATATTTGTTGCTTATGGTCAGGCAGATTTGCTGACCTTTGCCAGTTGGAAAATCCTATTTTATTACTTACTTCTCATTCTTCTCACCTGACATTTCCTGATCATTTCATCTCTTATCAGTATGTCTAGTGCTAAAATAGCCTTGTAGTAGCAATGACTTTTACTCATACATTATTAAACACAAGTCTATATCGGTTATTTTTACTGCTACTTTATGTAATCTGAGACCTACATAATGAGTCAGAGGATAAAACTGCCCTCCATAGCTCTAATCAATGTCCATTAGCAGTTAGTAATAATTAGTGCCTATGTACAGAAATTTGAGTAAGCCAGCAGGCTGGTAGTAACTGATTGCCAAAAGCAGTGGGTTTGGGATGCTCATCCTGCACCAGCTGAGTATCTCCTGGTAGGCAGATCTCTTCCATGTGTCATTTGGAAATAGTTTGTGCCACCAGTGCTGCAAAAGCTGCAGTTCAGGAAGTTGTACTTTAGTAAATACATTTTGTCTGTGCTACAAATACAGATGTCAACATCTGGAGGCTGTAAGTAAAGACAACTGGTGTCAGTGCAGCATGCAGTTTTCAGTTTGAAAGGGAAACATCTCTTTCTCTGGTATAACAACCAGTGAAGAATTGTATGGTTGTTCAAGTTATTTCTGACACCACTAGAAGTGCATATCAGCCCTTGTTAGCTGTTCTGCCACTCCAGTGTGTACAACAGGAGGAAATTTAACTTCAGATGTGCTCTTCAACAGAACCAGGATGTTAAACTAGTTTCCTGTTCCAGTCTTCCCAAGAGCCAACTCAGTCTAGTCCTGCTGCTTTGGTAGGTTTTGATCTTTCCTTCATATTAGGCACACAAATATATTTAAACTAAGGAAAAGTCCCAGTGGGACATCTGTGCTCAAAGAGTTGTGTAAACCCAGAACAGAGATCTGACTCTTAATACACCCCAGACCTGCTAATACTCTTAGAGGAGTGACACTGGGATCCTGCAGGAGTTGGAGGCCAGAAGTTGTTATTAACAGATGGGAAGGTTCCAGCCATCTGTGCATGAGGTAAGAGTTTTCTGCTTGGCACCTAGTCTTAAGAAAAGGAGTTTTAATAATTTTATTTCCTTCAGTGGTATGCACTCCTGCATTTTTACTACTCAGAATGGCCCTATATATTGTCCACTACAGATGGAAAAAAATACTGGGGAGATTCTTTGTACTGCACAGATACTGAGAGGTAGCAAAGTGGAGTTATTTTGGGGGTCAATGCATTTTATTTTGCCATAGTTAAATTTAACAGCTGAAACAGTTTTTTTATTGAATAAGCTTCTGGGGTATACCATTTCATTAACCACTTGGAAGGATAAGTTCCTTAACCTAGCTTAATCTGCTTAATGCAACAGCCTATATCTTAATTAGAATCACACAGTTAGTATTTCATGAATTGTGTCTGCAGTGGTGTCTTTCCCTTGGAGACAGTGTATGCATTAATCATGGGCAGGACAGCTCAACTAACTTGGTTATAAAACTTCTCTCAATGAAGGGTTTAACCTTCTCTGCAACTGAAGCTTACTGGTATATTTTTTAGATCTCTAAGGTGTGTCTTTTCACGAAGTTTAGTCAGTTGACACAAGCTGTGTCAGAGAAAGATGCTCATCTTGGGCTGTAACTGAAACACAGTCTGAAGTAGGAAAAAGCAGAAATTCTTGTAGTTAAATTTTTTACAACTTTATAACTGAGCTGTCTTGACTTGATTGAAGACCATCCTCTATAACAAAACCATCCCTCGCTCCATCTCAGAATATCAAGTCATAATCCAAAATCCCTTTAGTCTCAGGCTTGCTGTATACTAGGCAATGTTTACTGTGGTAGTGCAGATACAGTTTATTGCAGTAAAAAAAAAAAAACACACTTGCTGGAGCAGTTTGTACTGGATTTCTGAGTGAAATAAACTATCCCGGCAAAGGAATTTTTCACCACTCTGATATTGACTATACCACACTTTTTAATAGAATGGAAATTTTTCACCAGGAGAAATTCTACTAAGCTAATAAAAGACTCTCTGGCAAAACTGGCCCATATCAGGTCAACCAAAAGCCAAAGCTAGCCCTTCTAATTGCAGTGTGGAGAGGCAACCGCTCTTATGGTATCCACACTGTTTTGGAGAAAGGTTAAGGGAGAAAAGTCATTTGGCATCTGTTGCAGACAGAAGCAAGCGGAGTTTCAAATCACGTTGGATGTTACATTACCCTGTAAAAGAAGGTTACGCAAGCAGCTTATGCATTTCTGTCTATATACATATAGATACAAAATGCTTCACAGTAATTGCTGATGATAACATTAAATTGCCTTAGTTACAGAATTGATGTATAATCAAAATACAATACTTAATGAAATCACTATGTTATGTTTACCATTACGAATCCAAACCTCTTACATGATAAACAATTTGACAATATTTGGTACTACAGAGAAAGAACTTACAAACTACAGTTAAAATATGCTTTTAAATATTGTACAAAATACACTCTGATGCCTAGCTGGTATGTCTTTAACTATCTGGGGGACAGAACTGGGGACACAATCAACTGGAACCATAACAGCCACATTTAGACTGTGCTGTAATAGTAATGGGCCAGGAGCATTCTCTAGCCCCAACACCCAATTCTAAAATGCATGTGTTTTCATAAAGATAAACCGCCCTAATATTGAAGAGCAGGCAGCTGCATCAGAATTGCTGTTGGAAGTGTTCCCTGGACCACACTAGTCCCTGAAGCATGCTTAGCAACCATATGGGAAAGCCAAACCTCAGGTAGCAACCTTGCTAGCAATTTAATGTTATTAAAGTGTGGCAAAAGCCAAGCCCATTCCATAGTTTACTGGAACACATCTAGCTTTAGTCACCACCTGATTTTGAGATTTAACCATGTATCTCAGGGGAAATTACAGTTGTTGCATTTGTTTCCAAAATCGGTGAAGCTTGGCAGTGTCATTTTGAACAAGCACTACCATGAGATGGTGCTGTCACGGTCAGTACCCAGTAATGTATTGTAATATTGCTTAACATTTTGCAAAATTACTATCATTAAAATTTATTTAGGAAATTCAATTACAGTGTCTAAAAGGTCTGACGAGATACAGATTCCTCTCTGTGAGCGGCACTGCACAGAAAGAAAAATCCTTGCCCTTCTGCAATTGAATTTGTAATTGTGCACAAGATACAGTAACAGGTTTAATAAACAGGAAGAAGACATTCTGGATGTACAGAACACTAAAAATAAGAATATGTAGGGTAGCTCATAACCTGTTATGTTGTTATGAGCTGTGAATTAGGAATTGTAGACTATTGTACAGTTTTCATTGCAGGCATAATGATAACATACTGTTCCTGTGTGCCAAAATGCATTACTGAAAAGTGTCCCTCTAACAATCATTTCAGACTGATATTAAAATGCACGGAGTTTGTGACTGTCCATTATTTATGAGAGTACTATGCATAGAGCCATGGTTTGGATGTGAATGTTGGCAATGGCTAAGATCTTAACTATACCCTATAGTTTAATTTCTGATACGACCAGATTCACTCTCTGCATATATAATGGTCGTTATTCTTATGCCATTTATATCTCTGTGGTTTCATTTTTTTGTGGCTTTAAGAAGAATTTGACTTTAGTTCTGTGCTTTTATTCTCCATAGAGCAAATGGGTTACTGTAAGGCAGGTACACATCCTCTGACAGCCCTCATGCTGAGTCTCAATTGGGCTTTAAGATGGTCTGGCCGCCTTCATGGCTATGAATTAGCCTTTTGGCAGGGAGTGCCCGTTGCGAGTCCTGTGGAATGTGGGAGGAATATTCATCCTGCCAAGACATCACTTCATTGTTTGGCTTACGGTCAGCCTGTAAAATGAGAGGGCTACTGCACTGGCAGCACTACAAAGTGCTTGGGGAGCAAAAAGATGCAATGTATAGGAAGGGAAGGAGGCATGGTACAAGAGTATGGAAGAATATACTCTTATGGACTTCATGGTGGAAATATGATGGTGGGGGTTGTTCCAGGCTGCATATATCTCCAGGATTACCTAGACTGCTGAAAAGAATGTTGATATGGTGCACAGGCCTGAGTTTTCACCAGCAGGGTCCCCAAATAGGATTATTTTTGGGGGTGCAACAATAAAGTGATGAGCTTATCATGGAAATGTGACAGGTCAGTTCAACCATTTATTCTACATGCTTTACAGAAGCTGTTTGGAAAGCTACAGAGTGTTAAAGCTGACTCCTCCTTCTCATGTGTGAATCTAACACCTTTGACGTTTTACACGCAATGTTGGAGATTTATAGATTTTTATTTCCTACTAACCAGTGACATCACAGTATCACAGTATCACAGTATGTTAGAGATTGGAAGGGACCTCGAAAGATCATCTAGTCCAATCCCCCTGCCGGAGCAGGAACACCTAGATAATGTTACACAGGAATGCGTCCAGGCGGGTTTTGAATGTCTCCAGGGAAGGAGACTCCACAACCTCCCTGGGCAGCCTGTTCCAGTGTTCCGTCACCCTCACTGAGAAGAAGTTTCTTCTCAAGTTTAAGTGGAACCTCTTGTGTTCCAGTTTGTACCCATTACCCCTTGTCCTATCATTGTTTGCCACTGAGTAGAGCCTGGCTCCGTCCTCGTGACACTCCCCCTTTATATATTTATAGACACTGATAAGGTCACCCCTCAGTCTCCTCTTCTCCAAACTATAGAGACCCAGCTCCCTCAGTCTTTCCTCATAAGGGAGATGTTCCACTCCCTTAATCATCTTTGTTGCCCTGCGCTGGACTCTCTCCAGCAGCTCCCTGTCCTTCTTGAACTGAGGGGCCCAGAACTGGACACAATACTCCAGATGGGGTCTCACCAGGGCAGAGTAGAGGGGAAGGAGGACCTCTCTCGACCTACTAACCACCGCCCTTCTAATACACCCCAGGATGCCATTGGCCTTCTTAGCCACAAGGGCACAGTGTTGGCTCATGGTCATCCTGTTGTCCACTAGTACCCCCAGGTCCCTCTCCCCTACACTGCTCTCTAACAGGTCATTCCCCAACCTATACTGGAACCTGGGGTTGTTCCTGCCCAAATGCAGGACTCTACACTTTCCCTTGTTATATTTCATCAAGTTACTCCCTGCCCAACTCTCCAGCCTATCCAGGTCTCGCTGGATGGCAGCACAGCCTTCTGGCGTATCAGCCACTCCTCCCAGCTTAGTGTCATCAGCAAACTTGCTGATAGTACACTCAATTCCCTCATCTAAATCATTGATGAATATATTAAATAATACCGGTCCCAGTACTGACCCTTGAGGCACTCCACTAGTTACAGGCCTCCAACTAGACTCAGCCCCATAGACTACAACTCTCTGGCTTCTCTCCTTCAGCCAGTTCGCAGTCCACCTCACTACCTGATCATCCAGTCCACACTTCCTCATTTTAGCCGCGAGGATGCTGTGGGAGACTGTGTCAAATGCTTTGCTGAGGTCAAGGTAGACCACATCCACCGCTCTGCCATCATCCATCCACTGTGTTATTTCCTCATAAAAGGCTAAGAGATTGGTCAAACATGATTTCCCCCTGGTGAAGCCATGTTGACTGCCCCTCATAACCTTCTTATCCTTGATATGCCTTAAGATGGTACCAAGGATAAGGTGTTCCATCACTTTCCCAGGGATGGAGGTGAGGCTGACCGGTCTGTAGTTACCCGGGTCCTCCTTCTTGCCCTTTTTGAAGACTGGAGTGACATTTGCTTTCCTCCAGTCCTCAGGCACCTCTCCCGTTTCCCAAGACTTGGTAAAGATGATGGAGAGTGGTCTAGCAATGACTTCCGCCAGTTCCCTCAGCACCCGCGGGTGCATCCCATCTGGACCCATGGATTTATGGATGTCCAGATTGCTCAACTGGTCTCTAACCCATTCCTCATCGACTAAGGCAAACCGCTCCGTCGACCTGACTTCATCTAAGGTCTCAGGGGTACAGGGCTCTTCAGGACTGCCCGCAGCAGAGTAGACAGAGACAAAGAAGGCATTCAGTAACTCTGCCATCTCTTTATCTTCTGTCACCAGGGCACCCATCCCGTTCATCAGTGGGCCTACATTGCCTCTGGTGTTAGTTTTGTCTGCCATGTATTTAAAAAAGCTCTTTTTGCTGTCCTTGACCCTTCTTGCCAGGTTTAATTCTAAGGATGCCTTAGTCCTCCTAGCTGCCTTCCTACATCCTCTAGCAGCAGCCTTATATTCCTCCCAAGTGGCCAGCCCCTCCTTCCATGACCTGTAAACTCTCCTCTTCCACTTGAGCATACCCAGCAATTCCCTGTTTAGCCACGCAGGTCTCTTGGCCCTCTTCCTTGACTTCCTACGTGTCGGGATGCTCCGATCTTGAGCACGGAAAAAGCAGTCCTTGAATGTCAACCAACTATCTTGGGCCCCTTTACCTTCAAGCAGCCTTGCCCATGGGATTTCCCCTAGCAATTGCTTGAAAAGGCCAAAGTTTGCCCTGCTAAAGTCCAGGGTTGCAATTCTACTTGGTATTCTACTAGTCCTGCCACACAAGATCCTGAACTCCACCATCTCGTGGTCGCTGCAACCAAGGCAGCCCTCAACCCTTACTGCTTCGACCAGATCCTCCTTGTTAGTGAGGATGAGATCCAGCAGCGCTCCTCTCCTGGTCGGCTCATCCACCATTTGCAGGAGGAAGTTATCATCCATACACTGGAGGAACCTCCTGGACTGCGGCTGGGTTGCCGAGTGGTCCTTCCAGCAAACATCAGGGAAGTTAAAATCCCCCACGACGACCACGGCCTGTGACTGTGAGGCCGCTCTCAGCTGCCTGTAGAAGGCCTCGTCAACTTCCTCACCCTGATCCGGTGGTCTGTAACAGACACCTACAACAGTATCCCCCCTGCCAGCCTGCCCCTTAATTCTCACCCACAGACTCTCAACTCGCTCATCATCTGTCCCTGGACAGAACTCGGTGCACTGTAGTTCCTCCCGCACATAAAGTGCAACCCCACCACCCCGCCTGGCTGGCCTGTCTTTCCTGAAAAGGACATAGCCTTCCATGACTATATTCCAGTCATGTGAGCTGTCCCACCACGTCTCTGTAATTGCCACCAGATCATAATCTCCTGATTTAACACAGGTTTCCAACTCCTCCTGCTTATTTCCCATGCTGCGCGCATTGGTGTACAGGCATTTCAGGGAGCGAGCTGAGCACACCGATTTCACCCTAGGATTGTAGGAGGCCTCCCAGTCTTCATTAATTCTGGAGCGCTGCCCCACTGGGGCAAGCCCAGCTACAAACCCATCCCCCTTCATGTGACATACCCATTCAGAAACCCTAGGATTGCAACAATTTATTTGAATTCACCATCTGTCTCATTTTTTAGTTTAAAATTGGTTTAATTCCTCGAGCAACAACACAGAATAAAACCAGTGATAGTCCTGGAAAAACTGTGGCCACTGTTTACTCATATACTTTCAGAGCACATATGGAAATACAAAGCCACATAGAAACATAAAATCATATATGAATAGGTTATTTCAGAAAGAATGAAACTAAACAAGCTTGGTGTCCTGCTCATTTTTAGTCACTGCTCTGTAGTTTCACCCTCCCAGTGCAATAATCCAAGCCCATTTCTCTCCATGCCTTCCATGGCATCTATTTGGGCAAGACACAGTGTGTGCTGTGGTTAATCCACTTAGTTGTATGTGCAGGAAGGCTGGCCAGCATAAGCACGTGCCCACTGCCAACTGGCTCATGCTAAGATAACGCATGCTGCTG